ACTGTACCAGAAATACAGTAACAGAGCATTTCGGCGACATGCCTACGCAGTCACCATGGCAGTTAAAGGAGATTCAGCCCAAATACAATTTGTCTTACCAAGGATTAGATTACCCTATTCGTGTTGTGCCTATCGCATGAAAGGAAAACTGTTAGTCTTACCAAGAGCAGTGCAGTCGTATTATCTCTTGAAAACATTTTTGCCTGAAAAAATTCTATTGGATATGTCTAGCGTCATCTTCAGCCTTTCACCGGATGAAGGCCTCTCTGATACTTTGTCCTGAACCTGTCTTCTCCAATTCTTACCCATCTTGATCCATCGAAGTTCTTCAGCTCATCCTGTCATCGATCTTAAGGTTTTTCCTTCTGGCCATTTATTTCATGGACCCAATCCGATGTCTTGCTGCTCCAGCGATGGTCGGGTCTTCCTCCAACGTATTCTATCCTTTGTCATTCCAGCTTCTTTACATGTGCAATGATATTCCTTCGTCTTCCTATTTTATTGTTCCTAACATGTACCTTTCCATTTTGCGTTGCCTAGTCTGTTGTTCATGAAGACCTTGTAGGTTTATGTTTCATGTCTCGCTTTCCGCCTTAAGGACGAGGTTTATTTCACTGGGTCTGTCAGCATTTTCAGTCATCCAGAAGTACTCCGTGTCCGTTGTTTTCTTCTGCTGATTTCACATAGTCATCCGATGACGAGATGAACTCTACCCCCAGATAAACTTAGTTTTGCACCTTTGCATAAGTCGACTGACTTTAACGAGTCGCGGGGTTAGGTATGTGTTAAAATGGGCTTTCTTCTGATTCATTTTAGGTAACAGTTTGATGCTAACACCATTCAGCTCTTGGATTCTTCTTGGGAGTTCTTTTGGTTATGACCTTAAGAAGGTCAGAATATCGGCTGCATATCACAGGCGGTTAAATTAATGATTATTTATCTTCAGCTTTCGTTTTTAACAATGGAATGCCTTGAAGGCCTCTTCTACGACTAGTGCGAATAACTTCGATTATATTTTATCGCCTTGTCATACGTCCTTTTCGATTTTGAATTAACTTGTGCTTTTCGTTAAATTTGACACCAGAGTTACGTTGTTGTAATTCATGACGCAGATATTTCTTCTTTCAATTCCCTGACTCCTCAAATGTTCAAGTACAAACGGGATGTCGACTGAGTAAAAAACCTTTTCGAAATCTATGAATCTGTATGAATCCACGTGCAGAGAAAAAAGCGGTATTCGTTGCTAATCTGAATTACTTGAATCTCTACTATATATTTTTCAATTTCTGTTTATATTTTGTATAAAGCACCTAACGTTAAATAATTGGCAATGCGTTAAAAAAATTTTTTTAAAAACAAGAGTAGATGTTTATTTCAACAAGAGTTTTAGTTTTGGCAGTATGGCGAATGGATTGACGTATGCATTGACGATCGATTACCAACTATCGACGGTGAATTGGTTTTCATGCATTCCACCCAGAAGGCAGAATTTTGGCCATCGTTGCTCGAGAAGGCATATGCAAAGCTGTGCGGCTGCTACGAAAACCTTCACTTTGGCACAGGGGCTGAAGCAATGGAAGATTTGACTGGGGGCATTGTGGAAATATTTGATCTCAGAATGTTTGGACCAACAGCTGGACTGCAGTTTTCTGATGTTTCTGAAGCCGCGGCAAATGGATCGTTTATGAGCTGCGCGATTACAGTACGTATTAGAAACTAAACACTATAACAGTTCAAACAAACTTGATGTTTGGGAACCATAAGTAATGATGGAAACTTTTACGCTGAATATTTATACGTGTTAATTCCTGTTTAGATTGGATGAAGTTTCAGCCAAGGGTTTCTGGTCTTCGCCGGCGAATGATATATTTGTCAGACATCACGACATATAAGTTCAGTATTTTAAGCACAAGCATGCCACCAAGCGACATTACCCGGGCCAAGGAGCATTCTGAAAATTGGAAATCACGTCTGACTTGACTTATCATCATATTACGACTGGACACCATATCGGTTTTACGGGAGCAAGGCTCATTGCAGTGGAATGGAACATCTGTAAAATGGCCTTGTTGAAAGCCTCCATAACATCTAAATCAGCTGAGATTTGCTTATTAAAGTTAAAGAATCTAAAGAATTTCATTACTTTGCTGATAAAGGCTGAAAACTCCGGGCGAAACCTGGCTGTATGTAAATGTGTAAATATTTCAGGTAAAAGTTTTCCATGTTGCTATACACCGTATTAATCAATAAATATCATGAAGTTGATTCCCTACTGACGAGGTTTTCTGACCTGCAAAAATTCTAGTTTTAATTTCTTTCATGTTTTCTTATTTGTCTGCATAACATATATCTCTGGGTACATGATATGAAACTACATGTGCCGTCAGTATAAATAGTCTAGCTCTCATTGAATGAGCAAGTTTCTTCGCATTGTGCCATAAATTATGGTAGCGAATGTTATAAATATATGCATCGCTTCTCTGGATTTACTCGGCATAATTTCAACGCCCTTTGTTTCTAGCAGATAGATTTTGTATCATGGCACCTGCACTATAGGGATGCAGCATTGTGTCTCTGCCAGGAGTTGTTCAAAGAGATGTTCTCACTGCGACTGAAATAAGTTGTTCCATAGGCAGATTCATAAGCAGAAATATCCACACGGTTCTGGGATAGTGTATTGTTTTGCACTACCTTTGCAGGCCTGCTCCTTGCATGAAAACTAGCGTGTAAGCAATACACCCGCCCATTTTTAGAGTCTACTATTACCCTCCCTTGCTAGGGTAGGAACTTCAAGAGGTTTTTCAAACGATGTGGACCCTTCGATATTCAGTGAAGCGAAATTCAGGAGCTGGATCTCCAGGCGTCGCAGTTCTCAGTATACTCGTGTTATCTGAGTTTCACTCTTCCATTAGATTACCTTTCAAAGTAACATAGTTTAGCCTGTAAGGAATTAATTGAAAAATTACAATCGAACAAAGTAGAAGCATCCTGGTAGAAAGCAGTTATCTTCAGGGTCATGAAAACCAAGAGCCAGGTGAACTTATTTTACCAAATGGACTTGTTCAAAGGCACGAATTTGGCATCACAGATGTCAAAACGGTAAGATATTCAGTAAAGTTGCTAACGCATGAACTAAAAAGGTACTTCAGCTGAAACTGTCTTCATATTGGTACAATGTTCCTCGCGAAGTTGAACTACTCAGGATCAGGAATCCTTACGGCGACGAAGTGGAATGGAAAGGCGCGTGGAGTGATGGTTCTTCACAATGGGAGCTGGTCTCTGAAAATGCCAAATACGAATTGGGCCTGAAATTTGCGGCTGATGGCGAATTTTGGTAAGAGCCTTCATGTCAGTTTTACTGTAATGACAATTGCATTTAGGATGAGCTTCGAGGATGTTAAACTTCATTTTCATAGCCTGATGATATGTCACGCGTGCAATCCTGATCATACGTGTCGCTCAAGCAGAAATGTCCAAAGCTGCGACGAACTCTGTAAAAATTGGAAATTGTTCACTTTTCATGGTGCCTGGGTCAGAGGAAAATCGGCTGGAGGCTGTCCTGAAGACTTAAGTTAGCATATCTTATTTTCTCCTATTCTGCAATACTTAAGCTGTTTAGTTGGTAAGTGCCAAAGTGATTGACTTGTAATATGCTAACTTGAAAAGAGGTCATGGAATCACTTTGCGAATTGATCAACATATACGCTACAATGCCTTTCGGATGGACATACTGGAGAAACGTGAGCAGAGATATACAGCTGTACATGCCAGGAGGAGGTACCATGAGGTTCATTCTCCGTAGTCCTCTTGGCAGTCATAAATTTGGAAGATCTTTTTTGCTCAAGCTATAATAAGAACAGATTGATACATTTCTATTGCTTAAGGCAAGTCTCTTCAAGGGAATACATTTTTGATTTTCATTTTTGACAGCGTCTGTGCACACTTGCTTATCATCCAGCGACACCTGCTTGAGCAGAGGGATGTGTCAGAAGATCTTCGTGAAGAGATGAAGCAGTCAGTACTAACACGTAGGGGGGCCTATTGGCCACTTGCATGTTCGAGATGTATGATGTCACCATACCGCAAAGTATCATTTGCATGACCGGATTGTCTCCGGATTGTCGTACATCGTGAGGATAAATTTGAAAAATTGTAAGTAGCGCAACGTGTATCTCTTGAGTTCACTGATGGCCTAAATAAAAACTGAGTTCAGAATAGGAAGGTAGACTCATTCTATCGCTCACTGAATTTCACTATCATTCGTTCATCAATTTTGTCCACTAATTCTCTCCTCAGTCTTTCATTCTTTTGCTTATTCCTCATGAAAACGGCTTCACGCGGGGAAAAGATTGTGTTCCTAAAGATGGCCATGCTCTGAGGAACGGTTTGATGAATAGGGTTGATGAAGAGGAGTTTTGAGAATTTCCAACCCCGTGTATTTCAGTGATCTGTGAATGGAATTATTATTACGGGCGTGTAATGTTGTACGATTTGGCTTTTATATGCGGAAGCCATCTAAGAATAATGGAATCAACTTTAATTTTTCCCCTCGTTGTTTCTTGTGTAAGGTTCAGCTGGGAATTTTAGATAATCATAATTACGCTAATTATCTTTTATGTTTATGTCTTGTCATTTAAACATTTAGTTTATGTTTATTAGCACTGTTCGACAGATTTAATGTCTCGAATTGCTTCGTTCGCTTTGTAGCATAATTGACCTAAAACTTTTTCATATCCCGCTTCACTCTTAATGTGTACAGTTGCTTTGACTTTGACATATAGCAAAGTTAGGACGACGTAACCAATTAGTCTAGTTTCTTCCGGGTACATGTGATCTCAATAATTCTAGAAATTAAAAAAATTAAGTTGGCCTTCTTAGACAAACTAGTCGATCATATATCGTTTACTCCAGCCCTTGAGCTTTTCGTGTAGGAACCGAAATGCGGCACACGCCATCGAATGTGCAACACTGAGAAGAAAGGTATAAGCGAATCTTCTTTATGAATGGAATAGCTCATTTTACGATGCAGAAACCGATGTCTTATAATAGAAGTGTTGAAAACGACAATCACTGCTGACTTTACAAAGCATAGACATTCTTTGCATGCGGTTCAGGATAATGAGAGCAACAAACACACAGCTCTCAAGCGCATTCAATTTTAATTTTGAAAGATTTTGCATGGTATGTCGATGACCCTCTTTGGTGCATATATTACGTATCTGTGTGCATATCAAAGCTTTAGCAAAGTGATACACACAGAAAACTGACGGAAAGTGTATAAATATTAGACTTCCAATCATTGAGCTGTAATAATTCTTTTCTTTTTCTGTTCAGTATTCACAGACTCAAGTCATCTTTTTTTTGTGCACGTTAATTTGTCATACTGGCTTCTTTCGCAATGCATCAGCTCCAGCAATAGATATGGCTCCATTTGACCGATGGCCAAAATCTTTGCCTTTGGTGTACACATATTCACAACCCTTCGAATGTCCAGTTGAATACCTTCCATCGCTTTTGGTTACATTGACTTTCTGTAAACCTGAAGATATCAATACAAAGCGCAGTCTTCAAAATTTGGTTTTTGTTCTTTTTCACATTTGTGCTTTGCACACAGCGTCGTTTCCAACTGCGGTTAATTAATTTAGAAATCGCTACGCAAAAAAGTCTATGAATTTGTAAAAATGTACTGTCATTGCATCCCAAAAATACATAACCTGATTATGATTAAATTTCGCAAAATAGTCGATAATTCGATGACGTAATGTCATTAAAGTTTAATTTGTCATAGATTCGTTTGTGATCAACCCTCAGTATCAGTTCGAAATCAGTGAAGACCTGAACCACGGAACAGAGAAACCAAGCAACTGTATTATAGCTCTTATGCAGAAGTATCGTCGACTGGAGTCAAGCAGTCCTACGTTTCGTTATTATCACATTGGGTTTCTGGTTTATAAGGTAAGAAAATATCATGGTCCTACAGGTTAGAGGACAAGTCTTTCGTCGAGTCTTGAAATTCAAACATTTGTTCTTATTCAGTGAACTAACTGAGATTTATTTCTTAGGCAACCGTTTGTTAAGTTTGTTTCTTTGTGCAGTAACCAATCTGCTCTGCAGATTTGCTTCTGTGCTCATGTTCTTCATTTATGCTTATATACTGAATATTATCATTCTTCTTTGATCCAGCTGACATAATTATACTGATATATTGTCGTGAACCCTGTCAAAGCTGACTGAAAAACAGTGGTAATTAATGATGACCCTGGGAGTAGTACATTATATGCATTTATTTTAATTCCTTAATA